TTTTGATGGGGTTCGATTAAACGGTCAAGTTTCATTGAGCTAAACGTGGTAATATGTGGGCTTCTCGAATTATGCGTAATCGTCCATTTACGCTTGTGTTATTTGGTTGACCAAGCGATCTTAAATAACAGGATTATCCCATATATTTATTCGAAACTCAATGTATAACAATGATTTTTAACTAAGCTTTAATGTTACTATGAATAATTATTTATTTTTAATTAAATATATAAAATCAAATTTAACTTACTGATAAATCACAAAGTTTTAAAAATGTGTGTAATAAAAATTGTATTATGTACACGTGAATTACCTTTTTAAAAGGTCGCCAAAAAGTCAAATATTCAATTCAATTAACAGGAAATAATTTTTGTTAATGGCTTCAAAGCGTGCCAGTTGTGCACAGATTACTTCACCAATGTCAAGTAGAATGGAGAAGACACGAAATAAATTGGTCGGTAAGATAAGGTCAATAAAAAACTCAAATATTATTATTTTATATGAAATACACTACTTATGAAGTAAATTTAAAGTGTCCTCTCAGTTTTAAATTAAAAATAACATACATTCGCATTTAAATTAGTAAGAATATCCAAATTATAGTTATAATATAATAGTCACCCTACTTGTACCAATTAATATTTGATAATACGATATCGAGCCCATGTTCAATCAGTGTGTTATATGTATTAATATGTGTTCATTTAGACTCATCTGTTCATTTAATATTCTATAAATGATTCATATTATATTAGCTAAGATCTCGTAAATATTATCGAATGTCATTGCCGTATCGTTTAAGGCTTTTACCCCACATGCTTTTTATTCTTCGTTTCTCCTATGTCAGGACTTTAAAATATAATGTATTGACATTAGTTGACATTAGACAAGTTTGTAATTTGTATTCAGCCCTTTTTAACGCCCCACTGCTGGGCACGGTCCTGCTGGGCCTTTCAATACGAGGAGGATCAGGCCATAGTCCACCACGCTGGCCAAGTGCGGCTTGGCAGACCACTTGTTTTTCGAAAACTCACTAGATTCTCTCAGATATGCAGGTTTCCTTACGATATTTTTCTTCACCGTAAGACAAGGGCTAATCATGTTGGAATGATTCACACATGAAAATATCAGAGCTGCGAGGCCCGGGATTTGAACCCGCTTCACTCGGTTTCTCAAGTGAGTGCATTACTATTGGGCTACCACTACCACTAACTATAGTATATCACATACCTACTTGTTATAGAAGAATCTCATCGTACAATCAGAATTTAGCAGGAAAATTATACTTTAACTTTTAAATTGTATGCTAAATGAACTTTATAATGTCTCTATTACCACAGTCTTGAAAAACTTTCAACTATCATTCTTGCAGGAAATGGTTTGGAATGCTAGCTTTTAATCTACCAGATGAATTAACCGCCGTATTAAGGATGCCAAAGAATTCTTCTGTAGATAAAAGACTAAGTTTGTAATTACAGTTTTGGCATTTGGAACTGACTTCAAAAAGGTTGTATGTTTTTTTTTTGTTTTTGTTATACGATATTTTTTTTGCCCAATTCTTTTTTTATTAATAGACTAGCGACTCACTGTCTCTCCGCTCGGGTTCATCCCTAATTACTTTTAAACGATTAGTATAGATTTCTCAGAGATGAGATATTTTTCCGCAGTAAAAACTATCCTATATGTTGATCCGGATAACTATCTACCATCGTACCAAATTTTATCAAAATCTGACTATTGATTTTCTCGTGGTGCATTTCCAGACTTATAGACGAGTGCTTTTTTATATTTCAAACTTTTTAGTTCGGTTTGTTTATATAATTATATTTGTTTGAATGTTGCCTACAGATATAATTGGAGAGCAAAAAATGATGTTTTGGTTTTAAGTACCTAGTTGTATTTTTTTAATTTGTTTTCTGTTTCTGTGCTTAAATAAATAAAATGAAATAAAAATAAATAAAATCTATACTAATATTTTAAAGAGGTAAAGTTTGTGAGTTTGTGAGATGGTAGGGGGTAATCTCTGGATCTACTGAACCGATTTAGATGAAATTATGTAAGAAGACAGTTTGGGATCCTGGTAAGGGCAATTAAGATTAATTAAGATACTTTTTATCCCAGAAACCATTCCTTAAGGGGGTGAAAATGGGAATAAAAATTTGTATTGGGAAGCAAGCTAGGGACGAACCCAAGCGAAACGACGGTAAGTCGCTAGTGTGTTTATATTCTTGCTTATTCTTTACAGTGAATCGACTGGGCCGATTAAGTTAGAATTTAGTACACGAACAGACGTTGGAGAAACTCATCCAATTTGGCATCTGGGACTTGGGTCGCACCCGAGCGAAGCAGGGTCAAGTCGTTTGAGTTATAAAAACCCGCCTGTAACGCAACAAGCTGTACCAGACACAACTTTGCCAGAGTTTAACAAATAACTTTAATAAGTTTAAACAGTAAAATGTAAATTAAATATACCTTACATCAAGTTCTGTGGTCGCAACGTCGCGCTGTAACTATCGAACTGCAGTAAACAGTAGCTTATGCAAGCGATGAGATCTTACTTAGTTTAACTTCACTACTTATTAGGGATGGCACTTAATATTTATGTAATATATCGATGTTCTTAATACTTGATTGATGTTGAAATGTACACTATTAGCTCTTGATTTGTTATCATTGCTTTAAATCTATGAAAGTTTGAGAAGAAGAATAAACTTAAAATGTATGTATGAAAGTTTGTCAAAATAACAGTTTATAACAGTTAAATGATTTAGATATTTACAAAAAATACATTTATATGAATAATATGTTTCTGTGACATAATAATTTCACTTTAATTTTATTTAGCACAATTTAATTCTAACCTTATTAATAAAAGTCCTATCAAAAACTTTGTATGGAAAGATAGAAAATCTTATACAGCTAAGCTAAGTTGAAGGCACTAGCTAATACTCTAAATTATTTTTTAATTAAAAGGGAGAAGAATTCAGTTATGAAGAGATTTTTTAACCAAAAAGTAATGTTTAACCAAATTGCGGTTTCCAACTTAGACCCAATGGCATTATTTATATTTGCGAATAGATATCTATCTTATGTTTTAGTACCATAATACTTTATTTCAATATATTTAAATGTACATTTAATATATTCGTCATCAAAGAACAAGAATATCATTTTGTTAGGGCTCAAAAATTTCCTTTTAAAATAATCCTTTTGTGTATATTTTCTATTTATTTTAGCTATTTGAAAATATACTTTGTTTGCTTTTGTCTGATGTTGTAAGAAAGACTCAGATCTACGAGTTTACGCTCAAATAAATGAACTCTTAACTACATCTATCGCTCCTAAATGCCTCACGAATGCTTACAAACTTGGTTTTGGACGACAAAGACTTTATTTTTCGTTGTTTATGTAACTACCTGACTAGACATTGACCCAATTACAATTTCAAAAAGATTTATTATATTATGTGTCTCACGAATTTCTCAATTTTCTAAGCAAGATTCCAATTATTCCCCTTTATTCAAACGAATAATTTAAAAACAAAATTACGAAAATGGGTCTTTTTCTTGAATTACATAAAAAACAATTGGATTACTATTATAAATGAGAACTTTTATATGTGTATATGTCTGTCACGTCTTCAGGTTTAGGAATTTGAATTTGAATGTAGAATACTAGAATATGACATAGGCTACTGTTGAGTAGAAAACATGTTATACATATACAAACATTCACATTAATAAAAGTAGTCAAAAATACGTAAAATATTTTAAAAGCAACACATCCCTAGCTCTCCACGATGAAGTTTGTCGCATCTTAGCTTACAACTTTTGTGCAATTAAACGATACTCTATCAAAATGTATTGGGAATTTACTTGTTCATTCGATTGAAAGTTTATTGACGGGCTTGAATACTATTATATCTAAGTTATAAGGCAGCTGTAGAAAACAATAAAATTTACACTTTAAATAAAAAAATCTTTACGGATTATTTCGCGGATTTATTTAGATTTTTTGAATTTTCGAATGCTTTACAGCAGTCATGGTAACGGGAGAGAATAAGGTTTTACACATCTCAAAGGTTATACACTTGTTACAGACAGTGCCTACACACAATTTCATAAAATAATTTAAAAAAAAATCAAAAATAGTACCAAAGTACTTTACAATATTTGTTGATTTTAATTCTAAACATTATTTTAATAAGTATTATAATTAAATATAGCATATGGAATACCGAATATCATATGGCATGATTGCTATAAAGCATTCGAAACTTCGGGAACCAAAAATCAAAATAAATCTGCGAAATAATCCGAAACGTTCGTTTTATTTAAAATGTCAAATATTCGCATCAATCTACAATTAATAATAATAAATCTAAAAAAAGTATAATTTACACTTTCTTTCTTTCCTAGAAAATTACTTATCCACATTGATATTATGAATGTCAAAGTTATCAATGACTGTCTATCTGACTGTCTATTACATTTTCGCTTAAACCGCTTTTGATGGAATATGGCAAGGCCAACCGATTCCGGCCACGGCGGCCCATCTCATTGAGACTAGCCAACTGCACAGGAGATATTATAGTCCCCCCCCCCCCAACGTGCGTTCACCTTGTCGTGGTGGGTGGGGCTCAGTAGTGCCCGGAAACCCAACCGGGCGCGAAGCCAAGAAACGCACAGGGAGGTAGCCCACTTCGGTGGGCGGTGGGAGGTGGCCCTCTTCGGTGGGCGGTGTACCATGTGGGTTGCTCCTGGTACTTCTCTGATAGCAGTGTGGACTTTGGAGCAACCCCATGGTTGTGGTGGTCTGCTTCGGCAGACCTGCCGTCGGGGCGTCGTAGTTGAATGCGTAAGCGATCCTGCGACGCCCCATTAAGACGGGGGAAGGTTTTGTTGGGTTTTAGTGGGTAGTACTGGCTTTATTACGCCGGTGAGTCCCACACCTCGTGCGTAAATGCATTTCCCAACGTTAAAAAAAAAAAGGAGATATTATAGTCCACTTTCCAATTCGGGGCTTTTACTGAGAATTTCTTGATAGAAATACTCAATATCTAAGCTTGGCCCTACCCGAGGCTCGAATATTGGACCTTCGGATTTGCGGCCGTACATGCTAGCCGCTAGACCATCGAGGTAGGTAGAGATAAGTTCCCTCTGAGCTCCCGCTGTGCCAGTGGTCGCGGCTTGTATTCCCGCTGTGGGCATTCATTTGTGTGATGAGCACGAATCTTTGTACTCCAGTCATGGGTGTTTATATTTATAATATGTATGTATGTATTTAAAAGTTATGTATGTGTACTGTACTGTACCAACTATCTGGTATCCATAACACAAGCCTCGTAGCTTACTATGGAACTGGATTGTGTTGTCCGAATATTTATATTTATTTATTGCAATTATTAGGTGGGGCTTGTGTAGTTGATTAAAATAAATATACCAGGTTAGGATTGTAAACATAGATATTATTGTATAAACTAAGCGAGCCTCCGTTACTGTCTTTTCTGTATATTTACAGATTTTCCTTAAAGCCGTAGACCTTACAACTTTCACACATTGAAAGTTATCTACCATTCAATTTATCCCTTCACACCTTTACCTACTTTATCGATAAACCTTATAAATATTCCTCATGGGGTTTCAAAGTAAGGTATAACCTTTTACTTTTTAATGAAAAGAAATAAACACAAATATGTAAGTATACAAACTTATACATAAATTTTTAAAACCTAAAAATATGTCTTTTGAGAGTTGTTAAAGAAAAAAATACTAAGTTGTCTTACTATTGATAGTTACAATTTTAGAATAATCTCGCAAAAGTCTATAACCTGGACATAATATAGCCTGTATTGATACTGTTAGTAGTAAAATTTGCCAAGAAGTTGCACTGACCAGTCTCCTTAAGGAATACGCATATTATATCCTTAAGGAATACGTATATTATATTATATGGATTCTTAAAAATCGATTTACAATGTGCAAACATATCGCGTAAAGAAACTTTAAAAAAATTAAAAGAGAAACTTAAAAAAAAATAACCTTAGTCTATTCCGCGACCATGATTGCTGTAAAGCATTCGAATCGTCGGGAACCAGAAACTAAAATAAATCCGAGAAGAAATCCGAAAAGATAGTTTTATTTAATATATAATATTAAATTTGGAAGTTTGGTAACCCCTGTCCAGCATCGTAAGAAAACTGTACGGCTTTTGCGGTGTAATCGCGCCAAGCCCCAGCGGAAGTCGACTATCGTCCTACGTCACATCCTCTGATTAACGATGGTAACCTAATTTCCTTTAAACTGAGACGTACTATAGTGTATGGTACAAGAATTTTTTTCTTAAATAAAGTTTTATATAAAATATACTTATTATTTATTTATATAGGCAATATCTTTTATACAAAAATATAAATCGAACATTTTTGTAGTGACTGGCTTGGTATGGTATGGTATAAACGGGCTTGTTTCCGCAACTCGACGTCTGCGCGCCTATTTTGCGTGTGTGGGAAATTTTTCCAATCGTTTTATTCTTGCCAGCCCAGTTCCTCCAGGAATTTCAGCAGTCTCCTCGTCCTACCGAAGACCTCCGGGAGTGTACTAGGGGTGCCAAGATGTTGAGCCCGGTACGCCGCTACACCTGGATAATGTAAGATTACATGTGCAGCCGTTTCATCTGCCCGCATGCACGCTCTGCAGAGTGGGCTGTCAGTTATACCTAAGTTAAATAGGTGTTTATTGTAGGGTCGGTGGCCTGTTAGAGCCGCGGTTATCTGTCTGAGCTGAAATCTATTGAGATTGATCAGACGGTTAGTCGTTTTAGTGTTATTCGTAGGAAGCGATTCCTTCGCCTGCCTGCAATCTACGATTTCACGCCATATATTTTCGTGTAGTCGTCTTGTGCGTTGTCGTATTTGGCCTTTGAGCCAGCAAGAAGGTAACGCCACGATGGGCTCGGGATCTATTGTGTTCAGGTCCGATCCTCTTCTTGCTAGCTCGTCGGCCCTATCGTTACCCCACGAGTTGCTGTGGCCTTTGACCCATTGTACGGAGACCTCGTTTTGGTCACTTACCTGTGTCAAAGCGCTATGACATTCATAGATCATACCTGAGGTGGTAGAATTACTATTTAATGCCTGTAGTACTGACATGCTGTCTGATAGTATGCGGATAGAGAAGTCTTTGACGTCTTTTTTCGCAATTGTTCTAGCTGCCTCAAGGATACCTATAGTGACTGGTTTATATAAACGGTAAAAAGTCTTGGGTTTGAACCCCGGCAGAACAAAAAAAAAGTTACTCAACTGTCAAGAAATTATCTAAAATCTCAAATTAGGAAAGTAACTAGCTATATTCAAAAGCAAAAGATCTATATAATATGTATATATGTGCTAATTAATTAATGTTTTTCAAATTGATAAGAAAGGATATCTTATTTCAATAATAAATAATATTCATGCTTTCAAATCAAAAAATCGAACCCACGATCAACCTTTTTATCAAAAGACCATTCTCATTACTACATAACAGTATTTACATAACAATAGTACAAACAAAATTGCAACCTAAACTTTCCTTAGGAGATGTTTATTTCGGCCTCTCAAAGCTTTTCTATTGTGCTCATTTTAATTTAACACAACCAAGTTCCGCTTACAGATTGTATTTTCCTCGATTTCGTCTGAAACCTTAAATAAGAAACGTCAATGATACTTTACAATGAACGACATAGTTGCGACACGATAACTTAAATACAATTATACTCTTCTTTTTACCCGACTTTCACAGAAAGAGGGTAATGCATTTATATGTATTACGTTTTGAGTAGCGCGCTATATATAGGCTTTCATGAAACATTGTTAGATTCGTCTTGATTGTGGAAGTGATATACAAAATATCATATCGATATATAGCATTGTCGTCAGTGAAGTAACTAGTCTTTTTAGGGCCCAATGCAAAAAAAATGCAAATGGTTGCCTATTATGTAGTAGTGTATTAATATAGACGGAAGTCTAATCTTGAAAGAAAAATTAGTTGTGGCTCCCCCTTGAATCAAGGGCCCCATGCGAACACATTGGCTGCATTAGCAACGCTACGCCACTAGTCGTCGTATATTTATATCATTTAAAAGGGCGCTTTAAAAGATACTTTGTTATTATAATCGTACAAATAATCTCTTTAATAATGAATTTACGTACCTATTTCTTTACTGTAACATTTTAAAGAGAAAAGATTGGTTGTTTTGTTTGTTCATTTATAATCGGGTCGCTAGTTTATTATAGTATGAAAAATCATTTTATCGTAAAATAACACGAGAGAAATCCTTGATATGCCTTTAGACGTTTCCATAGAGACCATCAATACGACGTCAATCTGATACGGGAACGTGAGTTCTCAAAATATATTTTGTATGACTTCACTACCTCGTACATCAAATTAGGGTCACTTACACCATAGTATAAAAATCCATACAGTATGTGATCGCCCATTGATTTTAACGGAAATGAAATTTCATGGCGAATGATTTTGAAACTAAGTTCTGTAGTACCATTTATTGGCAAATTACAGCTATAGCCATCAACCCTATAGCCTTTTCCCGACTGTCATCCATGCTAATATTGTAAATGTGAAAGTGACTCTGTCTGCCTGTCTGTCTGTTACCTTTTCACACTTAATCCGCTAAACCGAATCGATGGAGATAATTTAATACCCTGGAAAGGGTATAGAATAGTGTTTATCCCGGAAATAATCCTTCAAGAACGTAAGAGGAGGGGAGGGGGGGGACTCGTTTGAGAAATCAATCATTATAATATCAATGTATATAATATAGCCTATCTATTCCATACTAAGTGTCAAAACGTCCCTTGGTACGAATCTGAGCGAAGCAAGGGTGAGTCGGTAGTATAAAAATAATTACGATAGTCGGGTGCGTCTCATCCGAGTCCCACCTCGCATACTCGCTCGACTGCTCTGTCTAGACGCCTTCGTTAAACGACTGTATGGATTAGTAGACTGCTTTTACCATACTCTATCAGATTATTAGATGTCGTGATATGCATTTCAATGAATGCTAAGGTAGAGAGAGTTCTACAGTATCCTGGGGAATCGCAATTTCTTCAATTACTCTATAAATTTGTTTGTTTGTTGGACAGTCGGCAAAAGGTTGTTCAGCCTTTTAACGTGTTCTTCACTTGCTAATTATAAAAATTATAAAACTTGTTAATTTCTCTCATACACGGGTTTCCTAATGATATTTTTCTTCACAGTAAGATAATCATGAAATGGTAATGAGAATGATTCGCACATGAGGATATTAGAGGTGCGAGAGTCGGGATTTGAACCCGCTTCACTTGTTTTTCCAAGCAAGTGCGATATCCCTATGCTAGCTACCCTGCTTTTCTGTTAAAATATAGATAAAACAATATGGAACCGCGATAACGTAACGCGATCGAATAAGTAGAAAAACTGACTCTAGGCACATAGGTAAGACTAAATGCTAAATGCAGCCTTTGGAATAACATAAAACTTCTGTGAACGTTGGGGTCATTTATTTTTTCTATAATACTTTCTTAGATTTACGCGAAAATTTCACATTTTAAATATAACAATATTTTCGGATTTTTTCGCTTATTTATTTTAATTCTTTGTTCGCGACTTTTCGAATGCATTACTTAGACTCAGAGGCTAAGGTTTTAGACATGTAAACGGTCTTTAAGTTGTTATTTTTTCTATATTATCGTTTGCTTGTTATTTGTAAATTCATATCACTTGTTTTATTGATATCGATCAATAATAGTTCTTATATATAACTATAAAATTATATTATATACTACGCGAGTGAACCCACCCAGCAGAAAAAAGTACTACAAAATAAATATTCAATTAAGTCAATGAAATTATATATAAGTCAAATTAGGTTTGATAATACAAAAGAAACATTTATTTTTATTATATATCAATCAAGAATATTGCTTTCAAAGACAATGAAAGTACACGTCTAAGTTTCACAAAAGTGCCTGGGGAATAACTCCGGATACTGTAATACGTTTGATCTTATCGAAGATGTCATAAAATTACCGACCAATGTACAATTTTTATAGAATTGTTCTTTAAATAAATAAAGCGTAAAAGTAAATTCGTTTCACATCTACTTCCTCATTTTGTTAAAGAAAACGATCTTGACATGATCTGTGTAATGTCTATTGAAAAATGTTACA